AGAATGATGATGGCAGCAAATGTACAAATGTGCTTGACACAATGGATGGATGTATGGATTGTGATAAGAGCTGTACGAGCCCCCAATAAAATGATTAAAAAAAAAAAGAATTTTAAAAATTAAAGAAAAGCCTAGCATAAGTTGTTTGATACTTGAAACATGAACAGTTTCACCTTTTAAACTTTTATATCCTTCCTCACAAAGGTAAATTTATCATTATCATAAAAATAAGTAGATCATATTTATTGAGTGCTATGAACACACATCTCAGCACCTTGCATGAGTTATCTTTCCCCCCTTTGAAGTCAGTCCCTTTTCTCAGTGAGAGAGATGAAGAAATGGAGCCACAGAAGAGTTAGGTAAATGTTTCATGGTCACACGTTTGGCCAGTTAGTAACCTAGCTCCAAATTTTAGGCTTTTTACTAGTATACTAAATGACTTATCAACTTGCCCAGACTGAAATAGGTAGAATATAAAATAACATGCAGAGAGCAATCGGGAATCAGTTTCTGATTAAACATAAAGAGTAAGTGACCTCACAAAGCCATGAAGGACTCTTACTATCAGACACGAATTCCTTTAGTAGGTAAGCCAGGGAGAATTCCTGGGAAAGCAATAATGTTCCACAAGTAGATACTCACTTCAGGGAGATAGAGGTCCCACAGCAAGAAAGTTAGGTTTGTTTAGCTATTTAAACCCTGGTGGCACTGTGGTGAGATTGGTAGCACTGTTTACCAAAAGGTCAAGCCATTGGAACCCATCAGCCAATCCGAGCCTACCAGCCACTGCACGGGGGACTGATGTGGCCATCTGCTTCCGGAAAGATGCTAGTCCTGAAAACCTGAAGGAGTGCAATCATGCCCTGTCCTGCAGGGCTGCTATAAGTAGAAGCCAACTCCACAGCAGTGGTTTTAGTTTGGAAAGGGGGATGAATATAGAGTAAGTTAATTTGCAAGAAAGTTGGCCTTTCTTGCAGTTCAGTCATCTTTGTTGACCAAATACCCCTGGCTTGCCACATGCCTTTGACTAGATTGTGAAGTTAGAGGGGAACAGAAAAAAATTCCAAAAGTTAATCTCAGTTTTTTGGGATAGTATTGCTTTCATGGAGGGATATATTTGCAGAGTTACTTATTTTGCCATTTCACCGAAATCCCCAATAACTTAAGAAATAAACAAAGCAACCCTATTTTAAATTAAACAATGAAGTTTTATATAGGTTCTGGTAGCAGAACAGCAATATCAAATGATTAGCGAGGGAAATGAGAAATTAATAAATTTCATAATTTAAAATGATCAAAATACATATTTACATGTATCTTTTATTATATGATTGCTCTGAATTTTTTCCAGAGGGTAGCATGATTAAGAAATAGTAATTAGTTATAGATCAATAAAGAGTTTGATTTTGATAAGAGCACCCAATGGGCTTAAAAACCTCTCCATTTAGCTAAAGAAATAAGAGTGGCAACAAAAAGAAAGTGGTTTGGAGTGGGTGTAAAATTTCATGTTTTCTAAATTGATAAATCCAAATAAGGTAAAATAACAAGCACACAGGTTTCTTCACTACAGAACTTCTTGATGCTTGTAAGATACTGATCTATTGCAACTCTCCCAGTTAGGGATGTAATAGAAACACACAGCTAGCTACATGACCCAATGAAGGATACATATTAATGTCTCCCAAAATGTTTCACTCAGTTATATTTGTGGACTACAAGAGTGAGACTAAATGTGCTCCGTTCTTTCACCAAATATCAAAGCTTCCCACACGGCACTGTTCTAGATAAAAGGCTCCCATACTCAGTATTTGATGACAAAACACGTTTTTAGTCCGGCTCTACAAAGTAAAATACATTGGCATCTTTCATATCTTTAAAGTTTTACACCTTAAACTTGACTTCTTTAAGAAGTCAATGGTCCAGGGTCCAATTCAACAACTACTTTGCTGTATCCTTTTAACTAGCTACTAGACATTTCAAATTTAACAAAACAAACAAAACTTCTGATATGTTTTCTGAAATGATTTGCTTGATGCAGTTAATATCATCAGCACCAATCCATTGCTGAGGTCAAATGACTATAATCGCTCCTTGAATCCTCCTATTTTTAGAAATCTCCTTCAATGTCTACTACTAAATACAGTTCGAACATGCTACTCTGTTTTGGGTGCTACAATTCTAATCTAGCCCACCTTCATTTCCCCATGGACTCATGTAATAACTGATATCTCTACGTCTACTTTCCCATACCACCCCTAATCAGTTACACACATCAACTAGAGTGTGTAACTCTAGTTAACTCTTCTTTAAGGCCTTAATCACACAATGGTACGTGCTTAAAAGTAACTGGTAAATCCCTTTTGCCCTTAGAATAAAATCTTTACAAGTACTATGACCTACAAGTTTCTTTGTATCTAACGAACTCCTTCCTATATCTCCCATCCGGTATTCCACCACTCTCCTTATTAGTCTCTAAGGTTCCAACACCTCAAACCGCTTTTTAATTCCTAAAACATATTCCTTTTCCATCTTCCTCAAACATTTGCAACCTGTTATGTTCTGTTTCCTTTAGTTCTGTAGTGTGTTTACTTCAATGCACACAGGACTCTGTGATGCTGCCTTCTTTAACGAGCCTCTTGCCTGTTTCTCCTCCCTCAAACGTAAGCACCATCATTTCAGAAGTCTCTTTGCCATCGTAATACTCTCTCAGTGGATTCATCGTCAGCACAGAGTCGGCTCTCAAAAAAGTGTGCTGGAAAAATTAAATGAATAAACGCGCACTGATATTTTAGTTAAACTGGACCGTCCTAAATCATTTCAAAGGAGCCCTGGGCATATAGTAGGTTATGCGTTCAGCTGCTAATGCCAAGATCAGCCGTTCAAATCTGACAGATGTTCCTCAGGAGAAAGATGAGGCTTTCTACTCCTCTAAAGACTTATGGTCTCAGAAACCCTGAGGAGCAGTTTTACTCTGTCCTATAGGGTCGCTATGAGGCGGAATCAAGGTGGAGTTACTGCTTTAGCACATGTAGAAATAATAATTATGAGAGCTTACCTAGTTTAGCAACTGCCAGTGGCAAAAAAAACTTATTGGAGATCAAGGTAATGAAACATACAGCCACTCCATGAAATAGCATCTAGGGTGAAAAAAGGGCACGTGAGTATCTATGGCAATCTCACACAAAGCACTCTATGTTTATCGATATTACGTGAGCTAGGCTGTCCAATGTCAAGTGATGCTCATGGTTGAGGAGGACGATGAATGTTAGGAAGGAGGAGGAAGACAATGTCCAGCAGTCCCCTGATCTCCCCAGGCTTGCCTCCTACAGTCCCAGGGGGGTTGAGCTATCTCACTACTAGAACGATTTTTAGCACGTGATCACGGCTTTAAGGAGTATAAAATAAAGTAAAAGATTAGTTACTTGGGATTTTTCCCTCTCACTTTCGATGTTAAAGTCATACGCTAGCAGAAGGGCCATGTTAATATTAGGAGTCCCTCTCATCTCGCTCAGCACCATTATGAATGCCCAGCGCCAGTTGAACCCATGGCCCAGCCGAGACAAAAGAGGGCTTATTAATAGGATGACCAGAAATCTAAAAGAGAAAAGAATATTTTAAAAGTTATTCTCATCATAGACATTTGTTTCCATTTCATTCTACTACATTCTCTCTCTCTTTTTTTTCCCTGCTACATTCTCATGGATTCCTGCCACTGTTCACAGATCACTGTCTTGTCCCACAAAGGGAGACAGGGGCATTCCACAGAATTGTAGGAATGGCATTCTTGTGGTTTCTTTCTCTAGGAGAGCAGTGAAGGAATTTCACATCATCCTGGAGGGGTGGTTCTTCAAGAGGATAAAAACGGACAAAGACATTTCATAGATATACCGTGGATCTCAAAAAGGAACAAAAGCAGATCTAATGTATAAAAAGTTTGAGGAAAATATTTTCCCTTTCTTTCTCTTCATGGGATTTCATCTTGATTCCCTCTAATATTGGTCAATTCATATATATATATATATATATTTTTCCCCCCCCCAATCACATGTCATCACGACAATTTACACTAAATATATCCAACATTTTGGAACTGACTTATATTTATTTGACTCAACCAAACAATGTATACTATCTAACTGATCTTCCTAGACAGCAAATAGCATGCTAGCCAATTCAGTAATAAAAACAAAGGAATGTAGACTCCAGCCATGGCAGTTTGTCTGTCCTGTGACAGAGTTTTTTCCTTTTAAAGTTGAAAGGACTACAAAAATTGTCGAAGCCAAGAAAGATCACTAGCAAGATGATTTCTATATGCTATTTAAAGTTTTTAAATTATTTCCAATTCTAATTTTTAATTAGGATGAAATTGTTTTTTATATAATGCCAGCATATGAAGATCATTTAAAATTTTATAACAGATGCTTAACGTTCTAAAGTTCACAAGAAAAAAAAGCTGGATGAAATCTAAAAAATATTAATAATGATTGCTTCTTTCTGGATAGCAAGATTACAAAAGAGTTCTTTACTCTAATTTTTAAAAATTTCACAGAGATTTTTTTTGTGCCACCTGAACCATAGATTAAAACTGAAAATAATACTAATCTGTTAATGATTCCCTGGAAATTTGAAGAGTTCATTCTATGACATGTACATTTTTACAATGTATAAGATTATCTTCAAACTTAACTTCCTATAATAGAAAATTTTAAATGGTATTCTTACCTTAAGACAATCATTGTCAAGTATATATTTAATGAAAAATATATATCAGAAAATGATATATATAAATATGTTTGGGCAGGAATTAGAAGTCCAATGAAAGTAAACACGACAAGAAATGAAGCAAACGAGAGACAATTCCAGAATCTGTATTTTCAGAAAATATAGTGAGTTACAGTTAATTGAGCTAACATCTTTATGGAAAACTTATCAACATGAGGCCATATGCTAGGTATTACGAGGAAAATAAAGATCAAGAAGGAAATTTACCAAATATCAAGGGACTGAAAATTTGAGGAGAAAAGAATGCAAAATCAAGTAAACAAAAAAGTTCACAAGGAAGTTTAACCAGTTTACATAACAAAGTCATTCATTTCTGGAAGAAATATTTACACAGTGGCTATGCTACTTAATAGAACCCAGCCATTAGGACATTGTGATTGGTGTAGCTTGAATATCCTGAACATAAGTTTCTTGTTTTATAATTGTTGCCTGGACTCAGGCAGACTCTGTACAACAGAACAAACACTACCTGCTCTTGCACTATCCCCACGATAGGTTGTGGATATCATGACTGTGATTCATAGGGTTTTCTCTGACTCAGTTTTGAAATTAGTTTGCCAAGCCTTTCTTCCTAGTCCCCCTTAGTTATGAAGCTCTTCTGGAATCTGCTCAGCATCACCGTAATTACAAGCCTACACTGAGAGAAGGGCAGCAGATAGGGGTGAGACACAGTGGCTGGGAATTCGACCACAGGGTCTCCTTCACTGAAGGAGAGAATGCTGCCATTGAAGCAGCAGTGCTGCCTTCCTCCTATCTTCCTTCATGAGGACAAATGAAGGTCACTTCTTTTTCAAAGGAAAGCTGGGTTCTTAAGTTTGATTTAGTAATGATAAAATTATGACTTTGCCTAAAATCTAGCTAGGCCTTGGAAGGTGTGAATGATTTAATTTCTTTTTACATAAATGCTGTTTTGTAAAGTCTTTGTTTTGAACTTGTGAGCATGTAAATACTCAAATTTAGGAGCAAACCACATCATTTCCAGAATTCAGGTTCTTATTAACTGTAAGCAAAGCAGTTTGCAAAGGGGCATTCAAATTTTAATATTGGTTATGGATATTGGGACCCTGAGAGGCTATACTTTAAACCTTATCTTTTAAAAATCTCTCTTTATACAAGTGTTTTATGTCTTTAAGGTTCATATATTATATGAGAAGTCTTCAAAAAGTTCATGGAAAGGGGTATTAAAAGAGAATGGAAAATTTCCATGAACTTTTGAAACCCTGCCCTAGCATTTATGATGAAATAAATAGAAAATATTAAAAAGTCTCATGAATACCATTGTATGAGGGCAAGGGAATTTGCTTTCATCTAGCATAGCCTGACTTTGTCCCAAAGACCCTTTGGTGAAGCAAGCAGCTTGTGAATGACTGCTAACCTAAGGGTTGCCTGTTCAAACCCACTCAGTGGTCTAGGCTTCTCCTTCTGTAAAAATTCCAGCCAAGACAACCAGATGAAATAGTTTCACTTTGTAATAGAATAAGTTTCCAGGAGAGGTGTTGGGATGGACTTAATAGCAACAGATCTGATGTTGACTTTAGAAATCCTGATTGTGCCTAATGACAAATTAGATACGAAAAGCAAACCCTTTTCTCTTACATGTGTAGAAAACTTCTGGTTCTGAATTCTACTTTGGAAGCAGTTCGAGATGTTGTACCCAGCTCGCCATGAGTCAGTTGACTCGCTAGCACCTAGCAACAGTAACTACGGAACTATCAGCGAAGTACTCAGTATCAATAGTCCAGCATAGGTCTTTTCAAATAGTTTTCTATGACTGAAAATGACTCCATGACATTTCTTTCTTATATTTGTATGGTCCAACTTTTTAATGATGTTACCTTCTGGACCCAAATATTGAATCTGACACTAATTTGGAGGAAAACACACAGAAGCCCATATTCTGGAAATTATGTAGTTTTTGTATTCTTAACTTTTGACTTCATTACAAAAAAAGAAACCCACATCCGTTTATTGTATCATACAGGAATGAAATAATAATAATAATAATAAATTCCCTCAATGGGCTTATACTCACTTACCTATGTAATTAGTCAAGTCACTTATAAACACTATGTAGAATAATTCAGTCAAATGAAAGATGGTTTAAACATAATCATAACATTTTCACCACAATGAGATGAGCAAAAAACTTCTCATAAGAGGACCACAGGGCCGGCCCCACCACGAGAGACAAAGTCCCTCACTGAACCATAGTGCTACGGGGGACAACACGGGAGATATAGTGAGGGAATTGTGACCCCATCAATCTGACCCCACCACACTGAGCAAAACACTAAGGGCGTGCAACAGAGCAGCAAGGGGAGCAAAGTGATGAAATCCCTGGGGAATATAAAAAACAGACTTTGGAGAGAGGGTGGCACCCCATCGGACTCGACTGGAAAACACTCATAAAGGCCAGCAAACAGACCTTGAACTATTTATAGGCTTCTCCATTTTTTGTCAGTGGCTTTCTTTTTGTTATTTTGTTGTTGTTGCTGCTGTTGTCATTGTTTTATTGGCTTTGACTTCTTTTGTTGTTTTGTTTGGCTTTGCCTGTTTTTACTTTTTTGTGCTTATTAATGTCTCTGCATGTCTATCAAGATAAGATAGGCAGGATAAACAATTCAGAGATGAAAAGAACGGGACCAATGGTTCCAGGGGGATACAGGAGAGGTGAAGTGGGAGAAAGGAAGGGTGGGGGGACCAACCCAGGGACAAGGGAACAACAGTGAACTAAAATCAATGGAGAGAAGGGCATAGGATGTCTAGTGGGACTTAGTCAAGGGGAATGTAGAACCAAGGAATTACTAAACCTGAATGAGGGCCAAACATGATGATGGGACACGAGGAAAATAAAAGGAAATAGAGGAAAGAACCAGAAAGCAAAAGACATTTCTAAAGGTCTAAATACAAGCATGTACACATGTAAATATATTTATATATAATGAGAGGGGAATAGACCTATGCACTTATGTTAAGAATTAAGGTTGCATCTGGACATTGGGCCTCAACTCAAGTACTCCCTCAACACAAGAACACTTTGTTCTAATAATCTGACATTCTGTGATGCTCGCCTTCCTGACAGGATTGCTGAAGCCAAAATGAGTGCATAAGCAAATGTGGTGAAGAAAGATGATGGTGCTGGCTATCAAAAGATACATCTTGGGTCTTAAAGGCTTGAAGATAAACAAGCAGTCATCTAGCTGAGAAGCAACAAAGCTCACAGAGAAGAAGCACACCAGCCTGTGTGATCATGAGGTGTCGATGGGATCAGATATCAGGCATCTAAGATCCAGAATAAAATCATACCCAATGTGAAGGGAGGAGGGTGGGGCATGGAGTGAAGACCCAAAGCCCATCTGGACATCCCCTCACAGAAGGGTCATAAGGAAGAGATGAGCCAGTCAGGGTACAGTACAACACTGATGAAACACACAACTTTCCTCTAGTTATTTAATACTTCCCTCCCCCCACTATCATGACCTCAATTCTACCTTACAAATCAGATTAGACCAGAGCATGCACACTGCTACAGATAAGAGCCAGAAACACAGGGAATCCAGGATAGATAAACCCCTCAGGGCCAACAAGGAAATTAGAGAGAGATACCAGGAGGATTAGGGGAGGGTGCAGGGAGAAAGGGGGAATCGATCACAAGGATCAATCTAGAATCCCCTCTCAGGAGGACGAACAGTGGAAAAGTGAGTGAGGGGTGATGGAGGACAATGTAAGATATGAAAATAATTATCAAGGGTTTGTGAGGGAGGATGGGCGAGGGAGGGAGGGGGAAAATGAGGAACCGATATCAAGGACTCAAGTAGAAAATGCTTTGAAAAGGATGATGGCAACATATGTGCAAATGTGCTTGACATAATGGATGAATGTACGGATTGTGAAAAGAGATGTAGGAACCCCCAATAAAAGTATTTGAAGAAATAAAAAACTTCTCGTAATGTGGGAAAATACCACCTAATGCCAAAAATAACAGTTTTGTCATCTAACAGAAAAGTTAATCGTATCAATTTACCAACACCTATTGTGGAGCTGGCAAGACTCTTTGATATGCGGTATATGGCAGGAGTTAATGAGGAAAACTTGAGGAAGAAATTACATTCTATAATGAATTAGTCTCTATCAAACTCAGGGTTGGTGTGAGAAAAAACATCAGACTCCAAAACCATCTAAAAGACATGTGGGGGGTGAGGTCCTGTGGGCAAGTGTGTTTCATCAGACACAGAAAAGGAGCTCTCGAATATCTGTTTATAGTACTCTTTCTTTATAGGGAGAGCATGAATTAAACTAACCACCCTAGATATTTTAATATAGTCATAGTGTCAATGTTACGGGTGCACCAATAACATTTTAGTTGCATTTTTAAAAGTTGGGTAGGTGCCTCATAACAGATATCTAAATACATATACTTCGTGCCTGAGGTTGCACAGCCACTAGTGTAAATGAGTGATATGACCGAATGAACTGGATATTTTGAAGAAATCACCTTGTTAGGAAAGAAAGATTGCAAAGTCTGGTAATAAGATCATTTTAATTCAATGTAAGGGACATTTCTTTCTAATGAGGACCTAATGTCGGGGGTTTAAATGGAGAGAAAATGTTTTGAGAAACGATGTACAAATGTGCTTTACACAATTGATGTGTGTATGGATTGGGATAACAGTTGTATGAGCCCCTAATAAAATGTTAAAAAAAAAGAAGAAAAAAAAATAACACCCCCCCACCCGAGGGGGATGAATAATAGATACGTGGGTGAAGGAAGATAAAGGATGATGTAAGATATGAAAAAAAAAAAAAAGAATTGTACGAGCCCCCAATAAAATGATTTAAAAAAAAATTCTAGAACAACAACAACAAAAATGTATACAGATGGAAGCATGAAAGAAATGAGGGTTGCCATGAGTTGGACTGGACTCATTGGCAACTGGGTACATATCTGTTGAGGCCCTAGCGCGATACCTGTGGATGTAATCTTATTTAGAAATAGAGTTTTTGGGTTTGTGTGTTTTCTTATTTTAATGAAACTGTGTCATTAATCTAATCACTTTGATGTCAACTAAAGTCCACATGGAGGAAACACACCATCAATGACTGAAGGATTAGAAATCATAAAATCCAAAGGAGGGAATAGTTACCAGCACTGAAATTGTGAGATTCTGGTTTGCAGAAGGTTATGGATGACAGTGGGAGCCCAAGATCCACATAGGAAATTAGCCTCCAGTGATCTCCCTCTCTCCATAATAGAGGGATGGGAAGAAACTGGATACGAAACAGCGGTGATTGGAGAGATGACTCTAGGAGATCAAGATGATAAACCTGACTTGAACAGTTAAAACCTTGTCAGTTGATGCCCCCCTTTGACGCACGCTGGGCCTGAGCTGGTTTTCGACATCTTCTTAGTTTTTGCCCCCTCACATTGGGGTTTTTCTCAGATGTATTTTGTCAGTGGGGGTGACCCTCTTGAATTTTTGTTACATGTTTTTCTGTTTTTCAGTATACGAAACCCAGAAGTCATGAATCTATTGAGACAGCGAGTAGAATAAAGGTTCCTGGGGGTGGGGGTGGAGGGAGGTACAGCCCAGGGCATTGGGGAAGGGGAAATGATGTCAAGGAGTTCAAAAAGAAAGAGGATGTTTTGAAACTGATTGTGGTAGCAATTTTACAATACTGCTTGATGAGATTGAACGATAGGAATGATCTGATATGTGTATTAACTCCCAATAAAATAGTTTGGGAAAAATCTAATCACTTCTTGGTAAGTAAAAAAAAAAAGATTAGAGGCTTGTACCGGTAGAGATAGATGAATCAGCAGGGCCAGGAACTCTAAGGATGACAGGCTACTAGGGGATTTGAGGGTGAGGCCTTGGGATACCAAGCACATGGTTGGCAGTTCAAAGCCAGCAGCCCTCTTCAAATGCCTTGACTTATTTTAAAATTTTATTTTGTGTGGAATTTCTTCACCATCCTTAAAATAGTCATTTTCCAATCTTGTGGCATTGCTGTGCTGAGCCACAATGGAGTCCGAGGAAAAAGAAACTACAAATAGTGTTGATTGTAGCTTTACAATGTTGATATTTTATTCATTTGGGGCATTGGTCTCAATTTTTTAAAAAAGTATTACATTAAAATATTTATCTTGATTTTTGCCTTTTTTTTTTTTTTTTGGTCACCACCTTAAATTTCGTTCCCTGTGGCAGATGCCTTGCTTGCCTAACCCTAGTCATGGCTCTCTGGTGACTGCAGAATGCACGTCAGAACTGCATGAGTCGATGGGTTAGGTCATTGAGGAATTAGTGAACCCAACATAAACCCAAGGCAAGGTCACAAAGTTTGCCTAAAATTGGAAGATTGAAGGCACCGACCGAAATGTTTTTAGCAGGTGTTTTCAGTTGTGTAGTTTTCCAGTCAATATCATCTTTGGACCATGTCGAGTTGAATAAGGTTCCTACTACAGTATTATAGCTACGGATATATGCCACAAAGCAAATATATGCAAGTCACTCACTCAAGTAGAAGGGCTTCAACTCCAGGTTTAAAACTTGTAGAATTTAAAAAGAGTCCGACAATGGCCAGAGTGAATATTCCAGACATGTGATACATCTCAGCTATTTTCAAAAAGAAATGGAAATAAAGCTTTATTTTGCCATCGAACATGGTTCAAGTCTTATCACAACCCTTAATATCAGATACCTTGACCAGATAGTGGCTTGATAGTGATGCAAAGTAATTTGCCTTTTGTGCTCTTACTGTTGTTGGTTTTTCTATAGCCTCATACCCAACTATGTAATGAAGTCTCTTCTGGATATCCTTGTGGTGCTTTGGTTTCAGACTATTGGCAATGATCTGGCATTTGCAAAACTGTTGTGAGCTATAAGCTGGTAGGGCATTCTCATGAGGCCAATTATCTCTGTGGGGCTCTGGGGGTATGAACTGGAAATGAACTGGTGAGCTCTTTAGGGAACTCATATGCACTCTTCCTAGAAGACATCAAAGAAAGGAACGATTTGATCTTGCGATATAGGAAGGGAGTCAAGTCAGCTGAGATCCAATATGGGCTTGTTTCCTCCAGTCAAGGAGCTCTCATGGGATATCGATTCAGCGTGTGACTTTTTAAGAAAATCATTTTATTGGGGGCTTGTACAATTCTTATCACAATCCATACATACATCCATTGTGTCAAGCACATCTGTACATTTGTTGCCATCATCATTCTCAAAACATTTGCTTTCCGCTTGAGCCTCTAATATCAGCTCCTCATTTCCCCCCTCCCTCCCTGCTCCCCCTCCCTCATGAACCCTCCATAATTCATAAATTATTATTTTGTCATATCTTACACTGTCTGACATCTCACTTCACCCACTTTTCTGTTGTCCATCCCCCAGGGAGGAAGTTATATGTAGATCCTTGTAATCGGTTTCCCCTTTCTACTCCACCTTCCCACCACCCTCCAGACATCGCCACTCTCAGGTCCTGAAGGGGTCATCTGCCCTGGATTCCCTGTGTTTCCAGTTGCTATCTGTACCAACGTACATCCTCTGGTCTATCCAGATTTGTAGGTTAGAATTGGGATCATGATATTGGGGGGTGGGGAGAGGAAGCATTTAGAACTGGAGGAAAGTTGTATGTTTCAATGTTGCTACCCTGCACCTCCCTGCAACCCTTCAGTAAGGGGGTGTTCAGTTGCCTACAAATGGGTTTTGAGTCTCCACTCTGAACTCACCCTCATTTACAATGATATGATTTTTTGTTCTTTGATGCTTGATACCTGATCCCTTCGGTACCTTGTGGTCACACAGGCTGGTGTGCTTCTTCCACTAGGACTTTGTTGTTTCTGAGCTAGATGGCTGCTTGTTTATCTTTAAGCCTTTAAGACCCCAGATACTATAGCTTTTGATAGCTGGTCACCATCAGCTTTCTTCAGCACATTTGCTTTTAACCGATGGTCAGCATTTGAAACCACAGCCCCTCCATGAGAAGTGGGAGAAACTTCCATGAAGACTTACAGCCTTGACGTCCCAAGGAGTAGTTTTACTCTGTCCTTTAAGATGAGTCAGAAGTAACTCGGTGACCCTGGGTTCCTTTCCCCCGTTTCATGTTGTTTTGGTGTACGAATAGTGGGGTACAGGAAAGTGTTCAGACCTGCTTGTTTTTCCATCTGGACTCACAGCAACTCCGATGTGTTGCAGAAGCGAGCTGCACTTCAGAGGGCCTCCAATCCTGTGACCTTTCAGAAGCAGTTTACCAGACCTTTCTTCCTGTGTGTCTCGGTGGGTTTGCACCACCAGTCTTTCAGCCACTAGGCACTTAATCCATTGGTGTCCCCCAGGAACTCTAAAAGAGCCATTTGTGTAATGCTCTTAAAAGGAGCTCTAGGATGGCTGTTCCTGTCCTGCCCCTACTTTATCAAAGGAGTTTATTACCACTGGGAAAGAGCCAAATCATACAGTCGTCGCGGCTAAATATGTTAAGAAGAAAAAGGAGGGAAGGCGTACAGGAGGGAAAAAGAAGAAGAAGACAGTGCTGCTTCCAGGGGGATTTACTGGGGTTCCATCATGGCTTTGACGTGATGGGTTGTGCAATTACATCTAGTATGTTTTTCTTTGTATGTGTTGTAGCCTACACACAAAAGGGGGAAATGAAGGTAAGTAAATAAAATAATTCTTAAAAATGAGGGTTCAGCCTTGAAAACCCTCCTGTTTCCTTACCCATCATCAGATCTGACCACTGGCCTGAATGGTTATAAAAGGAGGTAAAGTCAAATAGAAACCGACTTCAATGTTTTTGTGGCACACAAGCTATTTCAAAGGAAGGAAGGAAGGATGGAAGGAAGGAAGGAAGGGAGGGAGGGAGGGAGGGAGGGAGGGAGGGAGGGTGGGAGGGACAATCACAAGTGCAATGAATTAAAGGAAGATTTATTAGAACTTGTAGGAAGCAGAATATTGTATTTTCCTATAAAACTAATTTGGGGAGCTACGTTAAGAATAGAAAACCAAAGGTCATCTTCAAACATGACGGGTGCTTGCTGAATTTCTGTGACTTGAGACAAATAAGGGAAAATCAAACAGCAGTGACAGAATAGTGAGGCAGGATGGAAAAGCAGTCATCAGATCTCATAGAGAAGCCCCAGTGGCACACAAGCCCGAGCTGGCCTGCTAACAGAAGGTTAGTGGTTCAAATGCACTGGGCCTTCTGCCGAGAAATAAGTGCTTGTGAGCTTCAGTAAAGATTCAGCCTTGGAAACGTTGACGGGGGTGGGGGGTTGGGGAGTGGGTGGGTGGGGCAGTTCTATTTTGTTGTATAATATCACTATAAGTCAGAATTGACTCACTGCAAAGAGTTTGGCTCTTTAGGGTATTTTTTTAAAATTAGATCCCACAGAGCTATGAAATACAAAAAGTAATTTCCCCCATGAGCGCACCTTCTCTGTCATCTTTAGCAAAATTTAGTCAAACATTTTAAAAATACCACAATGAAATGAAACAATATCATTCTGGGATTTGTTTCTTTTGCCCGCTTAACATGTAACAGATTCTGTCTTAGTTAATAAAATTTTATTTTTAATACTAAAATATGGTGGCTATACCACTCTGTCACACAAGGTCACTATGAATTAAAAAAATCCACTTGAGAACATCTAATGACAGCATCAGACACACAGAAGCAAGTCTGATTGATCCCTTCTCTGTCCTTAGACCTGCTTCGTATTGCTACATTACGACCATTATATTTTAACAACTGTGATATTTTAAAATGCTTTCACACCACATAGAGAAGATTCGCCACAGTTATGTTTCTTTTAAAAATGTCTTATCTACTCTCCCACATTAATATTTCCAGATGAACTTTGGGGATTGTTTTATAAAATTTCAAAGGCCAAACCAAATTATACTATAGTTTGATGGGTATTTGATAATATTTTATTTATGACACTATTTAGTCTTCCTGTCCATAGATGAAAAGTTTTAAATTCTTTGTGGTAGGCCTGGTCAGAAATCATCACTGTGGTTAGTTATTTATGAAACGTGAACTTTAGAAGATTCAAATGCTCTGAAAAGATCAAATTCTGAATTGATCATTAGAACTAGTAAGGTAATAAATAAACAAGTATGGATCTTTTTCATGAACAGCTTTCTTGAAGATACTACTGAAACAAATATTAAACCAGGTCATAGTGAAAGGGTGTTTGTATTAGATGTATATTTACTTTATCTCTGCATTCACAAAATTGTATCCTTGCAGTTTTATTTCTAAAAATGTCTGTTGAGACAAACTAACCCTAAAAGTTTAAAATTATACCTTTGGGCATAACCCTTGATTTTGAAGCGATGCTTACTAAGTAATGTTAGAGAAAATATATTTGTTGCGATATATTTGTTGTATGGCTTTAAGTACTCACACTTATTCTAGTAGATAGTGAATAGACAAACACAGTGATCTTTCTTTCAAACAAAAAAATTGAAAACAGAACCTGCTGCCAGCCAGTCAATTGTGATTCACGAAGACCCCATCATGCGTTGGTGATGAGAGCATCCTAACAGAGACCTTGCTTAAGCAGGTGACATTCGGCTTTGCCAGCAGCTGGTCTACCAGCAGATCTTCCCGTAGACATAGTTGATTCCCTAGGCTCAGACCTTGTACATTCCGCATTTCTATCATTGATGAATGTTTTCAGCTCTTTGTTCTCATTTCATCAGCAATCAAAATCTTGACATTTGCTCCTTCTGTGGCATTTGGTTGACTGCTGTGAGCTCTTCCTCAGTTATATTTACACTAGTGACTTCAAACCTGAAGGGCTTGTTTTCTGGCACTCTGTCAGGCAATTTTATGCTGCTATTATAAAGTTTTCAGCAGCTAATCCTGGAGTCAGTGGAGAACTCTGCCTCTTCCTTCTTAGTGTATTCTTAGTCCCTAAGAGGGACCTGAGTGGTTTTTGAAACACTGTTGGCACAGCTTCCAGAAACCAACAAGCCACCACGGTGTGACAAACTGACAGAGGTGTGGGGTGAAAGGTCTATAGGCATATCTAAATTATATTCATTTTATGTTGAGAAGAAACATTATGTATTTCATAAAAGCCAACCACATAAATTATTATTTAAATATAGCATTACTTATTTGTATTAAACAACCTTGGATAGACATGGTACTATATAAACTATGATTATGGTTTTGTCAAATTCTTCTTTTTTTCTCTCTTAGAAATCTATAGTTTTATTAAGGCAAAACCTGACAGGGTAGTATGAAGTTTGCATTTAAACAGTTTTCACAGAAACCTAACACATGACAAAAAAGTTTACAATGCAGCTCTAGATGCAGTTCAGATGATATCTAAACCAATGAATCTCATAAGTCAAGACAAATTTTGAGTATCAGTTAATTTTGGGTATCAGTTAGTTCTTAGGATTAAAAACAATTATTATTCTTTTTTTATTTAAAGTGAACCAGAGCCCCAGTATGAAAGTTTACTCCTGAGACTAGAACTTTTGAAAGCTTTCAACCATTGACTTGATTCAGTGAAATTTGGACCCTTCATGATTGACTGCTGACACCAATGGTTTCAGAGTTCAAAGTTCAAAACCAGAGTGGCTCCAAGAGTTTTCCATCTTAAGAGCACGCACAGGCCCTTGTTCTTCCTCTTCTCTCATCTCCTCTACCACCACCTGCCACACCTCCCCCAAAGCCAGACCTGAGTGCTCAGCCAGGAGCTCAGGTGGACAAGCTGGACCTTGTGACTCAGCACCTCTGAGGCAGAACGATCTGCTGTGCAGACTTTCTAATTAAAAACATTCCCTCCTCAATACATTCCCATTCCAAAGTGGTGGCTTTGGTAACATCCTAGTTAAGACCTTTGAAGGGGATGGCATTAAGGTCAGGCAGGGAAAACACCTTGATTTCTAAGTCCTGGCCCTTACAACAGTTTTGGTCCCCATTTATGTTGCAAATGACTTTTTCTTTTCTTTTCTTTTCTTTCTTTTTCTTTTTTAACTAGAAGGTGATATATTCTGGACAAAAACCCCAAATCAATAGTTGTTTGTTCTATTGTTTCATTATTCCCCCAATCAGGCCTCACATCTTAACTAAAGTGATCCTACCCCTCTCCCTTTTCCCCAGCCACCCTCCCAACCCCTTACAATACACCATTGATGGCCAAAAACCACACACATGCTGCACTATAACAATGTAGAGTCAACACTATTGGGAAGAGGACTGTGGGTTGTGGAGTTGCTCTTTGAAGATGTACACTATGGTTTTGCACCCCACACCTACCCACTCTGTAAGTTTTGTCCTTCATAGAAGGCCCTTTGCATTTCTCAGCAAAGTGCAGAATGGGTTGCCTTGAATCACTTATCTGCTTCTCCTCCACGGGGAGGGGTATGCAATCTCTACAGCATGGGACAGCGTGGAAGCACTCAGGATACTTGCTGCAGGACACAGAAACTAGGACTCTTCAAAGCACATCTTCGCAAGTCGCTGCTAAGGTCAAGACAAGTAGAACTCCATCCAGACCCACAGTCGTGTGTGATCGTCCTTGTCATATTTTTGGTCATCTTCCTCCGAGGGGTAGAATGCCATGCCAGCCTTTCCTCATAGCAGGATATGACAACCTGTGGGCACTTGACATTGACTTCCTTGGCAGGGACTTGGCTGGCCTCATAAGTTTTTCATTTCATCAAGAACATGAGCTTGCCCCTGGAGTTGGTTGCTCCAATAATCCTCTCTGGCTCCAAACTCCAGTCAAAGCCTCCTGGCTTTTCTGACCTTCTCCTTCCTTGGTTTCCTTTCCTCTCCCTTTTCTTCTGAATCAGAGTCAGCTTTGAGCTTAACTCCCTGATGTCTGTATCTCATGGGCGGCTTTCTGTGACTGCAGAAACTCAGCAATGAGGTTGGGACAATGCAGCTTCTCTTCTGGTTCCCATCTGTTGGCCTTGTTTGAGAGACCCTTCCACTTGAAGAGGTATCCCACTTTGGCCTCTGCTACTCAGAGGTTGAGAACATTTTCCACTGCATATATCTCTTCCTCCTCTTCCGGAACCTCCTCCACTTTCTGCTTGTTTTGCTTTCCCCCCATAGTACCCGACAGCTTTCTGGTGTCAAGGTCAGCAATGCTGCTTAGAGCGGAGCCCAATAGCTCCAGGGGAATCAGTGCCGGGCTCTTGGCACATCACATTGACCACTGGGGCAGTGGTACCCACAAGGGCAACAAAGTGAGTGGCCTCAATCAAGCCCCTCACCCACCCCTTTTCCAGCCCTGCTTTGGATATTTTTGTGCATTGTTTCTGTGTAGTATAAATATTGGTATCTGTTATGTCTTTTAATAGATTGTGTCAATAAAAATATTTTTCCACATAATTGTGCGGTTGTTGATTTATTACTTTCAAACTAGTTTTTGCCTGGCTGGTTTTCCCTTACTTTTTTCTTTCAGTTTTTCTATACCATTTAGAATGAGTGATAGGCTTGTTACTTACAGAAATAGAAAATGAGGTACAGAATGGAAAAGCTGAGACTTATGTGATTGAGATCGTCGCCAAAGATAGTCGACATCCACAGTTGTAGTAGTTTTGAACTCAGAATTCCAGTCACAATACTTAATCCAAAATGTAAATAAAGTCCCTCCCAAAGATGTGAGCCTGCAAGTGAAGAAAGTAAATAGACATTAATAAACGTAAGGTTGTTTTGAGGAAATCACTCAATGGATATACATTTGGTTTTGAATTGGTGTGTGCTTAGCATTCAGTGATACCCAGGATCCATATCTTGTCAGAATCTTTAAACATCGATCATTGTGCACTCGTGAAGACAGTGATGCCAAGAGATGTTCTGATCCACCTGCCATAAAACAACAAGAACTACAACAAAATGGGCAACGCCAATACTCACTTGTCTATGCCAGGAAGTTTGGAAGACAGCTACTGGGTCAACTGACTGGAAGAGGTCCATATTTGTGCCCATGCCAAAGCAAGGTGACCCCAGAGAATGCTGAAGCTACAGAACAAAATCATTGGTATCACAAGAAAACACATTTTTGCTGACGGTCATCCAGCAATAATTGCAGCAGTGCATTGACAGACAGCTGCCAAAGTTCAAACTTGATTCGGAAGACGACACGGACCAAGGGATTGTTGATGTTCAATGGATCGTGGCTCAAAATAGAGAATGCCAGAAAGATGTTTACTTCTGTTTTATGAACTCTGCCAAGGCATTCGACTGTGTGGATCATAACAAATTATGGATAACCTTGAGAAGAATAGGAATTCCAGAGCACTTCATTCTGCTTAGGTAGAACTTCTACATGAATCAAGAGGCAGATGTGTGAACAGAACAAGGGAATACTACATGGGTTAAAATCAAGAAATGTGTGTGGCAAGGTTGTATCCTCTCATCATACTTGTTCTATCTGAACCCCGAGCAAATCACCAGAGAAGCTGGATTATATGAAGAAGAATGTGGCATCAGGGTCAGAGGAAGGCTTATTAATAATCTATAATATGCAGATGACAAAACAGTGCTTGCTAAAAGTAAGAAGGACTTAAGGCACTTGCTGATGAAGATCAAGGATTGTAGCCTTCAGTATGGATTACAGTTTAATGTAAAGAAGATCAAAATCCTCACAACTAGACCAACAGATCATCATGACAAATGGAGAGAAGATTGAAGTTGTCCAGGATTTCGTCTTGCTTGGATCCACAACCACTGCTCAGGAAAGCAGCAGTCAAGCGATCAATAGACACATTGCATCGAGCAAACCTGCTGCACAAGATCTCTTTAAAGTATTAAAGAGCAAAGATGTTACTTTGGGGACTAAAGTGTGCCTGACCCAAATCATGGCATTTTCAATGGCCTCATATGCATGTGGGAGTCGGACATTGAATAAAAATGACTGAAGAAGAATGGATGCATTTGAATTGTGGGGCTGGGGAAGAATATTGAAAGTATCATGGACTGCTTAAAGGCCCACCTGATCTCATTTGGAAGAAGTATGGCCGGAGTGCTTCTTAGAGGCAAGGAAGGGGAGACTTTCTCTTACATTCTGTGTATACGTTGTCAAGAGAGACAAGTCTCTGGAGGAGGACGTCTTGCTTGGTAAAGTGGATGGGGCAGCAAAAAAGAGGAAGGCCCTCCTGGAGATGGACTGGCACAATGGCTGCAATGATAGGCTCAGGCATGGGAACATTTGGGAGGATGGCATAGAACTGGCCAGTGTTACTCTCTGCTGTGCATAGGGTCACGATAAGTAGGCACACAACATAACAAGAACATGATATTCAGCTTACACATTCAGTACGTGTGTGCATAAAATGTTTATTTTTTTTAAAGGAAAAATATCCCTCCACATTCCTTACCCCTCAAACCTAAATAATGATTTTTGTAGCTTAAAAAAGAGAGAGGGTAGGAAAGGTAAAATTCTAATGGACTTGAAGTCTTCCATGGCAAACAAGTTAATCTCAAACATCCAACCAACAAATGCTATGATGCTTTTCAGGGTCTCTGAATCAAAGAACAGTGCCCAGGAGTGGAGAGCCTCAGATGATCAAGAGTCAGATCTGCAGCATCACATAAAGTTGGTAAACTGCTGCTCCACCATCCCTGCCCCTCTGCAGTCAGCGAGTCCACTCGACTACTATGAAGTTGGCCGGCAGAGCATCCTGGTTTCCCAGCCACCACATCCCACAGCCTGTGCAAAGACAAGATCCCAAACTTCTGCCCAAAAATGGACAAGGCAAGACATCCCACAGGGTCTGCGTTGAGTGCACCTGTTTGGGTAACTGTCAGCTCCCAGGCTACTGCAAATTCCTACAGAAGACTCCTTCAGGGAACCATGTTCCCACAATCAGCACTCTCTGCATATGCATACTATACCCCCCCCCCAAACTAACAGGATATTTATCCCTTGGAATCAATTTGGGTATCTCTTTTCCTTCTGTGTGTGGCACTCAGATCTAATGACTCAAGCTGTTGAAAGCTACTGAACAGGTGTCTTGAGTAGACCCTGCTTCTATAGTTTACATACTGCGATAGAGCTTCTGAAATCACAAGGGCAAAACTTCCTGGGGCCCATGCTGAGCATACCAATTGCTGGCTTACACAGTAATGGTTGGTTGCCAGACTGCTGCAAATGACTATATACGCCTTTCTGCAGTGGACTCTGCTTCCACAGCCAGCTCTCTGCTGGATACTCACAATAGATACTCCATAAATCAAATCTCCAAAATTAAGAGGGCAGAGCTCCCTGAGTGTTCATTTGAATTTAGCCCCCTCCCTCCAGCCCCCACTTCCAGTCAATTCCGGGAACTATTAACTGCAACTCTTGTGAGCTAAATAAGCATGTGCCTTGAGTAGAACCATCTCCTGTAGCCAACATACTGGGCTCTGAAAATAACAAGGCAGCCCTGCTCCACTTAGTGCGCATGCAGAACTTGTACATAGACCAAGAGGCAGTTGTGCAAACAGGACAACATTGATCATAGAATCGATGTCATCTCTGAATCAGGCCTCCCTGAAATTCTAAGATCAAAGTTTAATATAGTGAATGGGACCTAGATGAATCTTGGAAAGGGTTTAATAGTGGACATGGATCATTCTATCCAGTGTGTAGAATTGATTATATGTCTTTGCTTTTATGTGACTTTTTATATGTCTTTGCTTTGCTTTTAGATGACTTTTCAAGTCATCTAAAAGTGGTCCTTGAGCTTTTAGGATGCTTCAGAATAGAGTCTTCACTGGTCTTTGCCTTAGTCATCCTCAGAAAGGCTACATTTGCAGGGCGTTTTATAGGAGAAGCTCTCTGAGTTTCATACTGGGTTATTTTTCTTTGTACCATGAATTTTGCAAGAGGTCTTGTGGGTCGTATGTGTGGTGGTTTGGCTCTCTCACATATCACAGGTGGCACATTTCAAGCATTTAAAGAAGACCCACCTTCCTGTGTTCAATGAAGTTTCCAGGTTCACCACAGATGCTTCAAGTGTCTATGGCCTGGGCACACTGCTATTGGTATAGAGCTTCATCATTTTGTCGCTCTTAAAATTCAAAGACTGAAAGCAAGTCCATCTTAGGCCTAAGTGGAATAACTGCCCACTACCTGGACCAACTTCCTTGAAGGAGAGCTAAAAGAGGTGTGTGACCCAGCAATGAATCTCCTTGGGAAATAATTGTCTTCATTTATTGAAGACATTTGAGGCATTAATTATGACCATGTAAAGTCAGGATGATTCGTAACAGAGTCAAACAGGGTCCCTGGTTACTCAACACCGAAGCACCTTCTAGGAACAGGGAAAATATTTATAGGTCTTCTTGAATATTTGGCAAGATCATTGGGGATTTGCATTCGGACAATGGGACATAATGTACTGATACTAGCTGATGGACTTAGGAAAGCTGCTTATTCTTGTTTCTGAGAAGAGAGAGTCATAAAAGAATTCCACTTCACTGTTATTCCTAGTTGCTGTTCAGTTGATCTTGACTCATAGTGGCCCCAGGTGACAGAGTAGAACTGCATGACAGGGTATTTGAGGCTCTGCTTTTCTGGAAGCAACTTACCAGACCTGTCTCCAGGATGTCACTGGTGGGTTTGAATTGCCAGACTTTGGACAAGTAGTGAAGTGGTGTCATCCAGAGACCACTTCAGAATTGAGGATTATTTGGTGTACTATAACTGCCTTGCTCGACTAGAATATGGCTAGGAAGCACCTCTTTTGGGGGGTTGGGGTGAGACAATGACTTCAGAAAGCCTATGAATATGAAATCTAGTCAGTAGAATAATATACATGTTAGGAATGTTTTCAGGAAGATCATAACATTGGTTTCCCAAATAAATATAAATGCCAGCATAGTAAAGGGGTAAATAATTCATTATCATCAGGATGATGAAACTATTTTGACTTCATGGATGTCTTGAGTCTTGGAAATCCCTTCTCTCAAGGCTGCAGTGGATATTGAGTGTGAGGATACTGACTGGAGAGGAAGGTAGAGACTTTTGATCAGGGAGGGGCGTATGAGATGCTTCTGCAGGGACGTAGACCCTGTCTCTCTGCTCATGAATGATTATTTCCCAGCTGTACTGACAACATTTAATTTGCACCCATACCTACACATGCGCAAGCCACAAGAGAAAAACAGTTCAGAGTTATCCGAATGAGCTCATGGGCAACTTGCCAATCCCTCTGCTCAAAAGTACTGCTCCCAGCCCTTCCGCCAGGCTCTTGTGAAGTTGATGGCTTCTGATACTGATTGCAGGGAGAAAGTCTTGGCACAAATGGGAAAAAGCCATTGCATCTCACTAGTTGAGCTATCGAATTAACTTCTTGCTTTGTAGGCTCATCTCTCCCACATGAAAAAAACAAAAGCAGTAAACACGGGTCACCATGTCTCACCCTTGTCAAGATTCTGGCTCTGACCAGGCTCATGAAATATTATTACCATTAGCATACTCCTGAAAAGTTACCACCCAGCCTTACAAGCAAAACCACAATTAATGTCAAATAAGATTCTATGTGACAGTTCACTCTAAAAAGTAAATCACTTTACTATTAACTCATTATTATATTTCTATAATTATAATTTATAGGAAGATATTATTAAAGTCATGTCCACCTTCCTAAAATATGGGATTCTAATTTTCAAAAAGCTATGTAAAATGATGGATCTTTACCTATAGAGAAGTTCACATTGTTTTGCATGGCTATATTAATTTCCAAAATAAAAGAAAACACCATTAAAGATAAAATAGAGCACATCAGACTTTCTCCATTGATTAAGTTGGAAAGCGATCTAGAAAGACCTATGGGAAAAAACATGTTTTTAATGAGTGCAAATCGTCATTGTTAAAGAATAAAATGCATCAGCAATTGAAGGTATTTTCTAAAGTATCGGATGATTTGTGTCACATAATTTCCCCTACATACTTAAAAATTATTCGTCAAAATTGAAAGTTCTCTTTGAGGTAATTTAATTATATATAGCAACTATAACTTAAGCACAGACCATCATAATTAAGAGCCAAGTTAATTATGGCCATCTATGGTTTATTTAAGGGAGATAACTACAGCATTCATCCTTGTTTCAAAGCAGAGATAAAACATGAACCATATTATTTTTTAATCCAGTCATTTGGTCTGCATAAATTCACACATAGGAAGCCAGATATAATTAAGGCAAGACAGAGGTAAATGACTGAGAGATAAGATAAATCCATAGAACAAAACTTTATAACACTTCAGCTAATCTAGTTATAACATAGCCTGACTTTCCCATATGTTTTTCCAATGATACTAGAAATGAACTCCGTGGATGCAATGCACACTAATACCACCTACTTTCACCTTCATTTGACTCCATCTACGAGGAAATGCTAAATTGAAATCTCCAAACCAAATTAATTGCTGTTAAGTTGAATCTGATTCATACCTACCCTATAGGACTGAGCAAGACTTTCCCGAAGGGTTTCTCAGGCTGGAATCTCTGTAGAAGCAGATTGACACACCTTTTCCCCACAGAGCAGCTGGTAGGTTCAAACAGCCAACCTTTTGGTTAGCTGCCATGTGATTAAAAGCTACCAGCAGGGCTTCTGTTCTAAATTTAATTATCTATAAATAGTCCTGTTCATTGGTCATTAAATGTAGTGTCAACAGTGTCACTCTGAACATCTTTAGTGATTTTCAAAACATTCAAAGGAGGGGCATATTATGACACAATAAAAGTCCAATTCTTGACACAGCCCCACTCTATAACTTTGATCAACACCAATTCTTGACACACCCCATTCTATAACTACATAAATTTGATCAACACCAATTCTTGATACACCCCATTCTATAACTACAACAAGTGTGCCAATGAACAGGCAAGCCCATCGGTTTCTGTGGGAGATCAAGTGCTTTGATGACCCACTCATTCATGCCACTCCTTTGCTGTAAAATTTGCAGTTTCTCTGAAATCTTTGAGAAGTAAAAGGGTTGACATTGACCGAGTCAAATAGGCGTAGGAATATGGTACAACACAGTGGTATGGAGATAGACAAGAATTGAGGATTGGATGATGAATATTGGTACTTCATACTCTTAGTCTCCCTGTCTTGAGACTCAAGTTTTCTTTTATTTGTATATATTTATACTTCACGTCTCCTTCTACGCTATTTCTATTTGCCTCCGCTATCTCTTTCCTCTTGAACTGGCCATAAAATGAAACGGAAAAGAATGGGAGAAAGTGTGTTTGGTTCAGAGCGTATGCTCAATTTCCAATCCCTCACTCTTCCAGTTGATGTGGTGAAAAGCTACAACAAACAGAAGATCTCAGAGCTAAAATAAGCGAAGTTAAAGACAAAATAAGGTATTTGCAGTGCAGGAAGAAATAAAGACATGCTTACCAAGGTTCCTGATAGCAGCTGCAGTCAGCATGGGGTCTGAACTATGAAGGATAAGTGAAAATAATAGCAGCGGCATGGTGCCTGTAGGTAATTTATTCACAGATAACAGATACCAAAATATTAAGATGTTATTTAAGAGAAAACCAGGAATTGTGATTAAAAGTATCTGCAAATAGATTTTACAAATAAAAATCTCAGATCATCTTTATAATTCATTTTAAAACTCATATAAATAATTACAGTGAATCAACTAAGGCACAATTTTAAGTTATTTTCTTTAACAACTATATATTTGAAAGTCTGGAAATGAGGGGCAAAGAATGCAGTGAAATTCCTGGGGCACATTAAAGACCAGTTGAATGGAATACACTTATAATTAAAATATGAACTTTTAATTTTATTGATGAAGTCATTGAATATAGAATGTATGAGAAACCTTAAAAATTTGTGGTAAAATGGAAATACTGATCATGGGATTTTCTTCAGAAACCTTTTGAAGCCCCCTTTATATGTGTGCATGTACACATATACCATATATATATCCATAACTAATTACAGGTGTATATGCACACACTCAACCCTTATATTTAAGAATTCTTCATTTATAAATTTAACTACTCATAAAAGCTATTAGTAAGTCTAGAATACATTCTCAGTAAGCGTTCATGAATATCTCCTGACATGCACATAGTATCTAATATTTTGAGTTTTCCAGCATGCCCATTTCCAACTGAATTTGAACAAGGTGGCATTCTACCGTTTCATTTCGGCATTCATAAACCCAAATGTCAACACAGGACCCTTCAGCCAACTCAGATTAATGGCAACTCCAGGACTCCTTGTTGCTTAGTTAACAGTGCGTGCAAACCTTTTGTGTTGGCCAGCTTGCAGGCTGTAAACAAATGTCTCTTATGCTCTATTTGGTGAGATATATCTTTTTCCATCTCTGTGCTTAGTGCTGTGGATCTGGTTTAAAACAGCACCTAAGTGCAATGCCAGAGTACCATCCAGTGATCCTCGGCACAAGAAAGTGGTGAAGTGCCTCATGGCGAAAAATCGTGTGTAGGTGAGCTTCCTTTAGGCACGGATTATGGTGCCACTGGCCATGAGTTTATTTCCATCGAATAAACAGTGTACGTCAAATAAGATGGCTTTAAGCCGTGTGTTAGCCTGGCTACTTTAGAGAAACGAATCCACAGAAACTCATGTATAAGAGAGAGGTTTATATTAAGGTGACTAGACGTCCTGCTTTTGGCGGGACATTCCCGATGTTTAACAATTTTTCCCGTGTCCCACGGTGTTTTCAAAAAGTCCCAATATTTGGAAAGAATGCACAACAAGCTAGGGCATACAGTTTTCGGCTGCCATGTGCCTATTTCGCCAGGATATGAGTTTTATCAATGGCATCCGGCTTTATCAATGTTAAAATCTGGTTACGTTAGCTTATATAAAAGTTAAGTGCACATCAAGAAAAGATCCCAACCCAGTGTTGCCCAAGCCCACAAGTCCAACATTAACCCATATGTCCGACACCAATCCACAAAGTCCTCCTCCATCTCACAAAACACATGCAATGATGCCAACTGCAGGAGGAAAGCCGAGTCAGTGAATGTGTAAGCATCTCAGCACTGGCAGGGGTCACCACACGGCTGCTCCTGCATCCAAGGCTGCATCTGGGTAGGTCCATGTGACTTCTCTTTGGGGATGTCTTTCAGGAAGTCAGCCTTGCCAGCTGAAGCAGAAACAACTAAGGCAGCTGCATCCTGGTGTGACCATCAGAAAGCAAGAGACCTGAGAACTAGAAAGGCGAGGCTCACTGAGCTGTTTATCTCTCCACCCTTCAATTAACCCCACATGTGTTTATCAGCCAGGTTGGCACAATAAACTACCTTAAGCAGAAAGAGACATTTTGAAAGCTCTTGAATGAATCAGTTGAGGGAAATGCTGTAATCAGAGGCTTGCAGGAACCTAACTGTATTTCCCCCACTAGCAATGATTTTTTCCCCTCCCATTTACCTCATAGGGTTGCTGGGACAACTGGACAACAGATGAGGAAAATGTGAGAAGAATTGATGGCATTTGGATTGCGTGGTTGATGAAGAATAGTGAAAGCCCCGTGAAACATCACACCAGAAAATGAGTCCATCTATTTTAGAGGCAGTGGTCAGAGGACTCCTTAGAAGCAAAGATGGCAGACATTGTCTCCTGTGCTTTGGACATGTTTTCAGGACAGACCAGGGCCTGGAAAAGAACAGGATGCTTGGCAAAGTAGAGGATCGGAGAAACAGAAAAACCCCAACGAGGTGGGTAGGCACAGGGCCATGACGAGTCAAAGAGGCTGAGTCAATGGCACATGACGACAACAACAACAACCAAGGCTCATAAAAAGCCCAAAGAGTCACAGCAATGAACTTGATTCTGGCTCAACAAACCCATACAAAATTTCTGAGACTGTACATCAGCCTCATCTTTCTCCCACAGAGCAGCTGGTGTTTTTGAACTGCCTGTGTTAGGGGGTTAGCAGGTCAATATCCAGCCCACAGCAGCCCCATTTCTCTTCAGCAGTGGCTCAATACTCACCAATTCACTGTTCATAGTAACTTTATAGGACATAACTACTGTGAATAGGAGAACTAAGTGGATATTGTTCAAACTATGTATAGGAAATAAAAACAGAAAGGCTGGACTATAGAAAAGGTAAAGAAGATTCCATTGCTCCGAGAACTGGCCTTTGACTTTCTTCCTCTCCTCCATCGGGTTGCACGTATTTATCAAGTGAGTAAACAAGGGGGCTTCAAAAAGTTCATGGACAAATGGATTTAAAAGATCATAGAATTTCCATTCGGAACACTAGGAGCCCCCCTCGCACGTGTCCTAGCAATGTCCACTGCCCCAACCAATAGTCAGCACCAGCAGTCCCAACCGGTAGACGCTTGAATGAAGACAACTCTGTCACGTGGTTGTCAGCTGGCCCATCTGGTGATTAGAAATGTTTGGACCATCAGAAATCCCAGATCACTCTTAGGTCTCTCCTCTTTTCATTCTCATTCTTTTGTGAGCCGTCTGAGCTCCAAGTGACTAGACTCTGTTTAAAGTCTAAATCATTCTACTATTTTGTGCAATGGTTTGAAGCTAATCAACATGTTAATGCTTCAAACCTATCCAGTGAAGACATGGAAGTAAGACCAGGTGTTCGCGTCCACAAAGAATCCAGCCCAGAAGATGCTATGGAACAATTCTTCTCTGTCACGTGGGGCCACTATGAGTTGAATTGAGTATCTAGCAGTACCTAGCAAAGCAATGTCATTTACATAAGGGTCTCCCCCGCCCTTTCATTCGTGGAGTACAGCATACACGGGGGGGAAAACATACAGGTGAACAGCCAATCTTATCCAAACAGGGAGTGTCCCGGGAAGCCCCCTCTATATGTGGCCTTATCTAAGTTTTTTCCACCCTACCTGCTTCCATCCTTGTCCCTCCCTACTCTTGCCTCGCCAGCCAAAGCCTTCAAAGTTTTCTTCTTCAGGTGTGAAAACATTTTTTTAATGTTTTTTTCCTTTTATAATAATAATGGAATCATGTAATATTTGAGGACGTTTACATAATGTCTTCCAAATTTGTCTATGCCATGAGGTGTTTGATAGTTTTTTTTTAGAGATGAATAATATTACATTGTTTGTATCAGAGTTTATCAATTCTTCCACAGATGGACTTTTTGGTTGTCCCTATATTTTTGCTACTATAGTAGCACTGTAAGAAACATGGGTGTGCGTGTATCTGTTTGTATTCTGCTCTTCATGATAGTGGGGATGGGGGTGGGGGCGGGGGGAGGGGGGTGGAGAGAGGAAACATTTCAGAACTAGAGGAAAGTTGTATTTTTCATCCTTGCTACATCGCACACTGACTGGCTCATCTACTCCCTAAGACCCCTCTGCAAGGGGATCACCAGTGGCCTATAAATGGGCTTTGGGTCTCCACTCCGCACTACCCCCCTCATTCACGATGGTAAGATTTTTTTGCTCTTTGATGCCTGATAACGGATCCCTTCGGCACCTCGTGATCTCACAGGCTGGTGTGTTCTTCCATGTGGGCTTTGTTGCTTCTGAGCCAGATGGCCTATATATTTTGATAGCCGGGCACCATCAGCTTTCTTCACCACATTTGCTTATTCACCCACTTTGTCTTCAGCGGTTGTGTTGTGAAGGTGAGCATCATAGAATGCCAATTTAATAGAAGAAAGTATTCTTGCTTTGAGGGAGTACCTGAGTGGAGGCCCAATGTCCTTCTGCTTCTTTAATACTGAACCTATAAATACATGATTTTCTTTCTTGTGTTTTGTTTTGTTTGTTAGTGGTTTGTTGTTGTTTTATTGTATATTGTTGTTTGGTTTTGCTCTGTCTTGTTTTTGTGCATGTGATTATCGCCACAGGTCTGTCTAAATAAGGTAGGCTGGATGAACAATGTGGAGGTGAAGACAACAGGACCGACAGTTCCGGGGGGACATGGGAGAGGGGGAGGTGGGGAGGAAAGGTAGTGGTGTTAACAAACCCAGGGACAAGGGAACAACAAGTGATCCAAATTGGTGGTGAGGAGGGTGTAGGAGGCCTGGTAGGGCATGATCAAGGGTAATGTTACTAAGAGGAATTGCTGAAACCTGGTTGGGTACTGAGCATGATAGTGGGACAGGAGGAAAGTCAAGGGAAATAGAGGAAAGAGCTGAGAGGCAAAGGGCATTTATAGAGGTCTAGATAAAGGCATGCACATATGCAAATATATTTATATATGAGGATGGGGAAATAGATCTATGTGCATATATTTATAGAAAAGATAGTTTTTATTAGACCAATGTTTTAAAATTTATAGATTCTCACTTTGTGTCCTAAAATATGTGTGATCTATTCTGGATCAAATTCCATGACCACTGGAAAAAGATGTCTACTGAGTTTTTGTTGAGTCAACTGTTCTGTATGTGTCTGGGAGATCAAGTTTATTAATTATATTATTTAGTTCTCCTGCATATTTACTGTGGATAATGGTTTTATATTCACAGAATTCTACTTAGAAATAAATGTGTTACTTGGAAATAAATGTATACCATGCTTAAGAGCTGGTATATATTTTTCTCAGAGTTTCTGTCTGAGGTAGGCCATGTCTCACAGTATTGAAAAAAATTCTTATTGCTTGTGAATTAGAGTTCTAGTTGTTTATTTAAGTTCTCTGTTTTTTGCATCTTTACATGTAAGTGTGGGAAGCTTCATGTGTAGTTACATAATTTCATGTCAAATTGAAGTGAAGGGGTGGTTTCTCATAAGGCGTGTCCTGGGAAACGCCCCACTCTCGGCTTCACCTTCGGGCAGTTGAGTCACTTGGAGAGATGCCAGAGACACCCCCATTGGATCCACACAACTCTGACCCCATCAGCCTGTGAGCTCCCTGCATTCTGCATCATTGCATTTGACTGCGTGAGTCTGAAGAGGGAATTACAGACTATTATCAGACTTATGGATTTGTTCTAGACTGGGCTGGGATGTTTGCTTGATATACAATTACCTCTTGATATAAAGCTCCCTCTCTTACACATATATGAGTGTCACTCAATTTGTTTCTCTAGTCAACCTGTCCAAACACACTTGACAAGGTGAATATTTAAAATATTTTTTGTTCATCAATATTCATTTAGTGGGCCCACTATACTTCATAATAGATTTCAGGTGAGATCTCAGATTTTAGGTAAAATTGGCATTATATTATATCAGTCAGATTTTCAGGAGTACTTTTTGCTAAGTAATTTTTTCCCCAGATCTCCAATATGGTAGTCAATTGCCAAAACACTACTAATTTTATTTAAAATAATGCTTAATTTATTATTTTCTTACCCTGTACTTTCCTTCTGTATTTTGTACTTTATCAATTTTGGAGCAAGGACTGCTAATATCTGAACATAGATAACATGTGGCAATAGTTCATGAATGAATACTATTATTGAAAATACTTCTTACCTGCCAAATTAACTTTTGGAACATGTATATATCCATTTCAAATGCAACATTAAAGATAATTATTGGTGTAAATATGTAAAAAAATAATTTTGGGCTCATCCATTGAACAGCAGATACATAATCTTGAACCTATTAATAGTAAAAATAAATCAATTCCTCATTTGTCTGTCCTTCCATTCTTCTTTTAAGCCTAGAATACAGACTAGGCACTTCTATTTTTAGTAAGCAAGAAAGGTTATGGTCTATACAAATCTGATAAATGCTAGTCATAAACATGCTGGATTTTCATAGTTTCCTTTTGGGCTCTTTCCAATTACAGAGGAAAGTTAGTGCATAACCAATGCCCATTTATTGTATTTTATTTCTAATGATTATAATAAATGTACACAGGTACTAGAGAGTATGTTGCTTAGTCATACAAGAGAAAGAAGAGATTTCATGTAGATAGAGTACCATGCTCAAAAATCACAAAGGAGTAAATGAGTATATCACATTTCCAAAAGTACAAATAATTAGTCATGGCTTATATAGAAGACAGGTGTGTGGAATAATGACAGTGACATAGACTAGGAAGTTATGCCGTTTATGAGTGAACTAATTAAAATGCTTATCATGAAATACTTTTTGGATAATATTGTAAATCTTACTATATTAGGTAATATCATTATTTCTGGAAGACATTGGTCTCTTGTATGTCTCTACATCTTATTTTTCTCTTGCACTACCTTTTCATGAATGTTTGCATGACTAATCACTTTGGAAGACAGAGGAAATGTCTCCCTCCAGAGAAAAGGGAAAGTTTGCTAATGTAACAAAGATATTGCCTTGCTTTGGGACAACAAAGCAAATGAGTTTACAACTATTATAAAAATTGAGGTTTTCCTGTAACACAACCCACTGCTTACAGGTTGTACCTGGCCCTCTTTGTTTCTCATGGGTACTAGGGTTAGGGAAATTATACTGATACAAGGACATTAATGTGAACAATAAAGTGCTTTGTCTCTGATTCAAGAGTCCTATGTCTTCTGCCAGCATACACAAGTAGTAGGCTAGCGTATTAATTTGTAAGTAGGGTAAAATTTCAAGCTCTTTAGAGTGCTTGACAGACTAGTTCTTCCTTTGAAGAGTTACTCATAAATAGACATTCTTAAAATACTTAAAATTGCATTTATGTAAAAGAAAACATACCTGATTATGACAGATAACTGAAGTAGTTTGGTTCATATATGAAAATGCATTCAATTTATTGCAACAATCAACATGTAACACCAACAACAACCCAACCCACCCCTAAGGGGGACAAGCAACAGGAACGTGAGTGAAGGAAGACCACAGAAGGTGTAAGATATGAAAATAAAAACGCATAATTTATCAAGGGGTCATGAGGGTGGAAGGACGGAGGAGGAAGGGAAAAAAGAGGAGCTGATACCAAGGGCTCAAGTAGAAAGAAAATGTTTTGAAAATGATGATGGCATATGTACGAATGTGTTTGATACAATTGATGTGTGGATTATTTTAAGAGCTGTATAACAATAAAAGTAGTTTGAGCCCCCAATAAAAAGACTTATTTAAAAAACTAAACAATAATCACAGCCCCAAAAGATGTGGGATTAATAAGGCCATAGTTTGATTGGGGGCAAAGAGATAAATGGCTCGGCAGGGCCCTCCCCTCGCTCTCTTGCTCTCTGGTGATCAGACCAGCATGTGGCTGCTTTAGCTAGCTCTCTGCCTCAACTTGTGAGCTACACTACCTGTGGGACAGCCAACCCATGGATCGTGTTGCTAGACCTTCAAAACCTGCTGCATCACACTGCTGGTGTGTACATCGCTTGAGCTTGCAGCTGGCAGATCCTGTCATCTTGCATTGCTTGAGTTCTATATCCCATCTTCTGGCACTATTTCTGACAATCTTCTGATACTAATTTTCAAGGTTTCTAGTATCTAACAATGTTTCACTGCTATCCTTAGGGTTTTCAGTGGCTATTTAAAGTGAACAGTCTAGAACAGATTCATAATCTGTTCTTTGACTGGATCTCCACTGGAGCCTTTGCACTTTGGATGACTTAGCTGGTATTTGAAGCTACCATTGACATAGCTTACAACATAACAACAACACGCAAGCCACCAGAGTATGCCTCACTGACAGATAAGAGCTGTTAGGCAATGCCAAATGAGTGCACAGACGAGGACAGCATGCCTGAAAGAACAGTAAGTGTTTAATAGATCTCTAAAGTTCAGGCAAGGGACAGACTAACACAATGGGGACTTTGATCCAGTTAGTATAGGACTCCAGTAACAAAAAGTTAAAAAATATATATATATATTAAATTCATCTATTGCCTAAATTAGAAATTATTCATAGATTTTCCATTAGATTAGAGGCCTGACTCTAAATTGGCCTGGCTTATAATTGGCCAAGATACCGAAGATGAGCCATTTTACTGGAATAGAAAGTGAAGTAAAAGATAAATTATAAATATAGTCAAGACAACTACAATGTTACAAAATAGTTGAGAACAATTGGAATCAGATGGGGAAAGAGAGCGATTACTTACAATAAGGAATATAAAACGCATTTTTGACACAGCCTATGTTGGCCATTTTCTTCTGTAAAAGATCATATTGCCAATATTGTATTATAGTTTACAATGTTCCTATTGGCCAGCTTTGTACAGTAAACCTACCTATCACAACACTATTATAAGTGTTGACCAACTGGAAGAACATTGAATGAAGGAATATTTTTGCAAATTCTCTGGAACTACTGTTATATTTATAATGACTGTTGTATTTATATTAGATATAGTTCAAAAATTCACATTGGGTCTACATACCTTTATTGATGTAAAAGCTAGTATTTCCAGACTGCAGCCAAATAAAAATAATATCACAGGGAGAGGAATTGGAAAGTCTTTCAAGTATGTATTCAAAAATGCTGCAAAAAATAGGACATTTATATATCATAGTTCATATATCATAGTTTCTTAATAATGATGACCATGAAATAATGTTCCTCTCCACTTACTATCATCCTGTGATTGAAATTTTCACAATTAAGGATACTTCATCAGTGTGACGGTTCCTCTTCCAGGTTTCTGATAACCATCTTTGTTTTTTTTTTAAATCGTTTTATTGGGGGCTCGTACAACTCTTATCACAATCCATCCATCCATCCATTGTATCAAGCACATTTTTACGTTTGTTGCCATCATCACTTTCAAAACATTTTCTTTTTAGTTGAGCCCTTGTATCAGCTTCTCATTTTCCCTTTTCCTCCTCCACCCTTCCTCCCTCATGAACCCTTGATAATTTATAAATCACTGTTATTTTTCATGTCTTACACTGTTATGTCTAACCTCAGATTTTGAAAGTAAATATTTCTAGAAATCACTGACTCTTGGGTTACTGCACTGAAATATTTACATCAGTTTTTGTATGAATTATATATCAGATATTAGTTTCCTTAGAATGGAAAGAGAGCTTAATGAAGAACTAAATGTTAATAAAATTTCCTGGCTATTTCTCACGAGAATCTACCCACAAGGATTTGCTGAATGAGAAAATCTAGTGATCTTTTATAAACTCGAAAGCCTATAATGACTATATAAGGATTATTTATCATTGCTATACATGTACACTAAGCAATATCACAGCATTTCTTTCCATTTGAATTTTCTATCTTATGCTACATAATCCTTAATGAAGTCAAAGAAAGTGTAAAATATCGAATGCTTCTTTTTGATTTTTACAGCGTTCTTTTCTTCTGATAAGAGATAGACATAACTTAACATCTGAGGGGGGAAGCTCTGGAATATCCAAGAAGTACTGCAGTGGATGAGTTGAATCAAAATATGTATGGTTTGTTGAATGTAAAATTACAATCTGCTATCTCAGAGACTCACAGGGGCAGTTTTACCCTGACCTTTACGGTTTCTATTTTTCAAATTTGACTCAATAGCAGTGGAAATGATGCACCAGATGATTGATAATGTTCTTTAATATAAAATGTCAATGATGATTTTAAGTTGAACCAGAGACATATATAAACAGTAGATATATGAATGGATTTGGAGCTTGCACTTAATTCTAGCCTCCATCTAAAATCAATTAGTTTTTATGACATGGCCCTGCTTGATAATCCTCCACATGAAGATATGAGTGCTATAGCCAAGTATGACAAAGGAAGTAGATGGTGCCGGCTATTTGAAAGAATAGCATATGGGGTCTTAAAGATTTTTCTGTAAACAAGCTGTTATCTAGTGAGGCGTCAACTAACTCCTCATGGAAGAAGCACACCAGCCTATGTGATCCAAAGATTGTAAACAATATAATCCACATTCAACAGAGGGAATGGCAGCAGAGCTTAAACCGTGAACACCAGTTTGCAGAAGGATAGTGTTGACAATGGAAGCCCAAAATCTATTTACAGGATCTACATATGGAGTAAGTCTCTGGCGGATTCCTTCTGATCATAGTTGAGGAATGCAAATAGTCTTGTTATCTGGCAGAGAGCATTGCAAAGTGGATTATGGCAGACGTGTTCCTGCTGTTATGTGCCATTGAGTTGGCTCTGACCACAGTGACTCTATGCAGAGTAAGACTAAACTGCACAATCTTCCACCATCTTCACAACTGTTCCTATGCCTGAAGCCAATGATGCATCCATTGTGTCGGTCTATCTTGTAGAGGGCCTTGCTCTTTTTCGCCACCCCTCCACTTTACCAAACACAATGTACTTCTCCAGAAGCTGACAATTTTCCCAAAGTATATAAGACAGTCTTTCCATCCTTGCCTCTAAGGAGCACTCTGGCCTTACTTATTCCAGTACAGATTGGATTGTCCTTTTGTTAGTCCATGATAATTTCAATATTCTTCTACAGCACCACAATTCAAATCTATCTATTTGACAATGGTCTTCCTTATTCAATGTCCGAGTTTCACATGTATCTGATGCAAAGGAGAATACTGTGACTTGAGTCAGGCACAGCTTAGTCATCACAGTAACATCCTTGCTCTTCAATACTCTAAAGAAGTCTTGCGTCAAAGATTTACCAAATGCAATATGTCTTTTGCTATTTTGACTGCTGCTTCCATGGGCACTGATTATAGATCCAAGTAAAACAAAATCCTTGACAACTTCAAACTTGTTTCCATGTATCATGATGTTACCTATTGGTACAGTTGTGAGGATTTTTGTCTTTCTTATATTAAGTTGTAATATTTTCTGAAGGCTACAATCCTTGATCAGTAAGTGCTTCAATTCTTCCTCATTTTCAGTAAGCAAAATTGTGTCATCTGAGTATCACAGGTTGTTAATAAGCCTCCCTCCAATTCTGATGCTGTACTCTTCATACAATCCAGCTTATCCAATGATTTGTTTGTTCAGGATATAGATTGACAAGTATACTGAGAGACACAATCTTGATGTACACCTTTTCTAATTTTAAACCATGCAGTATTCCGTGGTTCTGTTCACACAACTGCCTCTTGATCCAAATAACAAGTAACAAATGAGCACAATGCCATGTTTTGGAATTCCCATTCTTCTTGGTTTATGATGGTTCACGTAGTCGAATGCTTTTGCATAGTCAATGAAACACAAATAAACATCTTTCTGGTATTCTCTGCTTTGAGCCAAGATCCATCTGACATCAGTAATGAGATTCCTTTTTTCACATCCTCTTCTGAATCTGGCCAGAACTCCTGGCAGTTCCCTGTCAATGTATTGCAGCAACTATGGTTGGATGATCTTAAACTAAAATTCACTTGTGCGTTATATCAAAGATATAGTTGTATAGTTTGAGCATTCTGTTCGGTCACCTTTCTTTGGCGTAGGCACAAATTTGGATCTCTTTCAGTAAAGGTGTATTCCATTAATTACTGGGGTTTTGTTTTGGGGGAATGCAGCTAGAACTTCTTTCAGCACCATCGATTCTTGCTCATATACTAGCTTTTGAAATGGTTGGCTAATGCTACCATCTTTTTTGATGTTCCCTGCAGGGTTCAATGTTCTGCCTCTAGAATCTTTCAAAATTCCAACTTGAAGCTTGAGTCTTTTTCTTGAGTTCGTTCAGGTTCAGATGTGCTGAGTGTGTTCTTCCCTTTGGGTTTTCTAGTGCGAAGTCCTTACACATTTTGTCATACTTGACTTTGTCTTCTAGAGCTGCCCTTTGATATTTTTTATTCAGCTCCTTGCCTTCTTATTTTCTTCCGTTTACTGAACTACTCTGTGATTAAAGTCAGTTTTACAGTCTGACATCCACTTTGGTCTTTTCTTTCTTTCCTGTCTTTTTAATGACCATTAGCTTTCCTCATGAATGATGGTCTTTACATCGTCCCACAACTCATCAGGTCTTCTGTCTTTCCCATTCAATCAACAGACGTATCAAATCTGCTTTCAGATGTTCTCAAAATTCAGGTGCAATAGACTCAAGGTTGTATTTTGGCTCCTGTGGACGTGTTTTCGTCTATCTCTCTTATGATCCTTTAAAAAATTTTTTTCTTTTTAATATTTTCTGCTTTCTTTTCAATTTTTTTATGTTATTGCTGTTAGTGATTAGGTTTTTTAAATGATTTTCTGTATATGAAATCCAAAATAGGTAAATCTAGAGAGACAACAACTGGATTAATGGTTTCTTGGGGATATTGCTTGGGAGGTAAGGGAGCAAAAAGGGGAACTAATAATGATGAATACAAGAATGAGGAAAATATTCTAAAACTGTGGTGATTATTGTACAGCTCTTCTTGATGTGATTGAGCTACTGAATTGTATGATGTGTGAATTATATGCCAACAAAACTGTTGAAAACATGATGAGGGGGAAATAGATCTATGTACATATACTTATAGGTTGAGTATTAAGAAAACAGATGGACAGTGGGCCCCTGCTCAAGTACTCACTCAACACAAGAACACTTTGTTCTAACAATTCGGCAGTCTAAGGTGCTCACCTTCCCGGCACAATCACTGAAGACAATGGGTGCACAAGCAACTATTAGTGAAGAAAGCTTATGGTGCCCGGCTACCAAAATATATAGCATCTGAAGTCTTAAAGACATGAAGATAAACAAGCAGCCATCTAGCTGATAGACAACAAAACCCACATGGAAGAGGCACACCAGCCTGTCCCAACTCAATCACTGAGGACAAAGTGGGTGCATAAACAAAAGTGGTGAAGAAAGCAGATACTATATCAAATGATATAGCATCTGGGGTCTTAACGGCTTGAAGATAAACAGGTGGCCATCTAGCTAAGAAACAACAAAGCCCACATGGGAAGTACACCAGCCTACGCCGACACAAACACTGAAGACAAAGCGGGTGCATAAGCAAATGCGGTGAAGAAAGCTGATGGTGCCCAGCTGTCAAAAGATATAGAATCTGGGGTCCTATAGGCTGGAAGATAAACAAGGGGCCATCTAACTGAGAAACAA